TTTGGGTTTTCTTTTAGATCTGATGATTATTTTCTGGGTGTCCTTTTATGTAAAAGGTGCACATTGTTGGATTGTTTTTTAAACTATTGATACCAAGTGATTAATTATTCCTATCTCAGGCCTTGGCAGATATGGTCCCTTCTCTAAAAAAACAAGGGCATCGAGTCCTGATTTTTAGCCAATGGACTTCTATGCTTGATATTCTGGAGTGGGCATTGGACGTCATAGGTGTAACTTACAGCCGTCTTGATGGCAGGTTCTCTCTCTCTCTCTCTCTAAACTTGCTACCTAAAGAGCTACCACACAAGGCATAACCGCACACTCTCTTTCCCCCAAAGAACTCTAAGCTCCCCTCGCTCTCTGCCCCCAAAATACCCATGCCTCTCCTCTGCCTCAATATTTAAGCCTTTTTATCTCTCTCTCTATTTAAGCATTTTTGCTCTCTCTCAAGTTTTTTGCTGAAATGGCAGCACACAGGTGACAGAAAGGCAGACCATCGTGGACACATTCAACAACGACCCATCCATCTTTGCATGTCTTCTTTCAACTCGAGCTGGAGGGCAGGGCCTCAACTTGACAGGGGCAGACACAGTGATCATACATGACATGGATTTTAACCCTCAAGTGGACCGTCAAGCTGAGGACCGATGCCACCGCATAGGCCAAACAAAACCCGTCACCATATACAGGTCAGCTGTTATCCGAAGTCGAGTTCTCTCTCAAAAATTACTTGAGGCTCATTTAGTTTCCCTTTTGAATTTCTTACAGGCTGGTAACTAAAGGCACCGTGGATGAGAATGTGTATGAGATTGCCAAACGCAAGCTGGTCTTGGATAGGGCAGTTCTTGAATCTGGTATGGAGATTGATAATGAAAACGACATGCCTCAGAAAACGATGGGAGAAATTTTATCTGCGATTCTATTGGGGTAGAAGGTAATGTGATTATATATAGAAGGCCATGTAATTATATATGAAATTATTTAGCTCGAGATAACATGAGCAGGTACAATTTACACAGCTCATTCTGTGTAATTTTCACTGCCTCAATCTGGAGCTGTAATCTGATGTGAGAGAAAGGGGGCTCCCTCTGAGGAAGCAAAGAAATATGTGCATTAGAGTGGGCGTTTCTTGCCCACAATCAGTTGAAGAATGCAAGACTTCGCTTCGAATTGAAGTGAAGATTTTGAGGAGAAATGAATCATTGTTTGCATTTCATGAAATGGAGGCTGCACCTCAAGAATGGAACTGATTCCTTGTTTTGTACCAATGTATTGGTATCCCATGGTCTTCTGGTGGCATTGGCGGTCTGCCCTGTTTTGAATTCGGTTGATAATCTTGATATCGATTCATTTTAAATGAGCGGTGCAGAATTAGATATTTATTATTTGCTTATAAAAGCTATAAAAAAAAATAGATTTTCAAGGTTCTCTCTTGTGTAGAAATGGTGCAGCCACTTGAATCAGTCTCTCATACACACACAAGCACCATTCTTATATGGTAGGTGAGCTTTGTTTCTTTTAAGCTAACTTTCAAAGATTGAGCAACTTCTCTCAAAACCGATGTAGAGCATTGGTCACCATCGGTTGCTATATTACTAATGGGCCTATTGCTATATTGCTAATGGGCCTACTCTGTTTTGATAATTAAAATTTATGAGAAGACTAAAGAATGGCCATCATCCAAAAGGAAATGTATACAATGAGACCATTTACTTTTGATACAAACATGTCAAAATCATTTTTAACCGTGGGATGTGAAATTAGATGATAAAAAATGTATTATTAATTGGGCATAAAGTTCGAAATAAAATTTTTCAAATATTGACCCACTTCAATCATTTGGGTTTTATACATAATGGCTTAAAATGATTGAGAAATAGTATACAATCCTTACGTGAAAATAGAGGCCGTTATATCTCTAATGGGCCCAATTGGTTTCTATGCTAAAGGTGATAAAAACTTGCGATATTTCTGAAGTACGCCTAAACTTTCAACAATTTAATAGTATATATTTTTTCAACTATTTATACTCAATGATGGTATGCATTTTAATGGGTATTCTGAAACCTAAAGGACAAGAAAAGCGCGTTAGAATGAAAACACATTGAGCGATGATGCCATGTATTCTCTTCTTCAAAATGTCTAGTTCTCCTTTGAGATGGATTGAATTACCTTGACTTGTCTAGCAAGCACAAAATTGAGCTCTTCTCCTATAAAACAAGAAATCACTCATTAATTCAAATATGAAGTCTTCTCTTTCTATCTGTTGTTATAGGGGGGCTCTCTATCTCTCTCTCTCCTCTGTCCCTTCATTGGTGTCTCCCCACATCTCGCTCCGGTTCATATCCCCTGTAAAGAAATAATAGAAAGGAATATACACTTCAGTAAGAGCACTACATAGATTTGGTCCCCCGATCAAAACTGTGATTATTAATATTCTTAGGACCTCAAATTTTGGGATGTGTCATATTTGAAGACGAAGATGTAGAAGAAGAAGAAGAAGAGCAGCAGCTAAATTACTAATAATAATAGTAATAATACATTCCAGAACTATATGAAAAGCCATGTCAGGGTCAAACATGAGTTTTCTAAAGGGCAACCGAAGTGTTCAAGTACCTGATTTTATTCCTTTTTCTTAAATAATCTTGAGACGATTCTAAAAGGTCTGAAAAATCCTCCAAGTACGTTGGTTTCCTGTAAATTTTGCTTCTACAAAACAATAGCATGCTTCAAGCATAATCCATGAGAATTGGTCTCCTTATTTCCAGAATTTTTTCATTTGCTCATGAGGAACCTCTTCCATCTATCAAAGAATCTCAACATTTGTCTTGGCATCCATTACAGCCAATGTTTATAAACTCTTGGGCCTTGGGCTCGGCCCTTGCCCGAGGAGCCAAGTAACCAGGCTGAGTCCTATACAGGTAAAAAATGGCCTAAAAAATAATAAAAAAAGATGTGATCCCAAATCATCATAAGAACCATATACAATCAAATTTCTTTATAATATTTAAATATTTTAAACAAAATTACTGGCATTTGGTTTTTATTCTTTAATAGGAGCGAGTTGTCCCCTTAAACTCACCTTGGCTGGACTTGGCTCAGTCTTGAACATTAATTAAAACTATTAGAATATCTAACTTGTAGATTCAGGATTTATCGAATTTGTGCGAACTATCAAAGAATTAAACATTGAGCCACACTATGAAGTTGTAGAAGAGAGTAATTGAGCAATGACTAAGGCATGAAACAAGTGTATCGAAAAACCACTTAGGTTTTATGCCAGAGAGTATGCCAGGGAGGTCAATAATTTAAGCGATTTTTCTATTTAGGCAACTGATTGAGAAGTTTAAGGTAATGGGAAAAGACCTCCACATGGTTTTTATCAATATCGAGATATGTAAAATACCTCGAGATTTAATTTGGCAGGTGAAAAAAAAAAAGAGTCTTCAGATACTATATCGATTTGATGAGTGATATGTACGAGGGAGCACTAACTAGTATGTAAACAACTAATGGATAGACGATTGAGTTTTTAGTGATAATAAGTCTATATAAAGAATCAGTGTTGAGCTCATGTCTCTTTGTCTTAGTTATGGACGACTTAACTAGGTACCTACAAGATGAGGTACCATGGTGTATGCTCTTCGTGAATGATGTAGTTTTGATTGATGAGACCCGAAGCAACGTTAACATAAAGTTAGAATTTTGGAGGGATGCTCTAGAGTCTAAAAGTTTTAAAATTAGTAGGACTAAGACAAACTATATGAAATGTAAGTTTAATAATAATAGGAGTAGAGACGATGAAGTAGTTAAGATTGATTACCAAGAAACACCGAAAAGAGTGCAATTTTGATATCTTGGGTCTCGACCTAGGAAAATGAAGAAATTGAAAAAGATGTCGCACGTAAGATTAGAGTTGGGTGGGCTAGGTGGAGATATGCAACCGGTGTTTTGTATGATTTCCGCATACCAATGAAGCTGAGGGAGAAGTTCTGTACAACAGCTATCAAATCAGCTTTGCTTTATGGGATAGAATGTTGGGAGATCAACAAATACATTACCCATATGATGAGTGGAGCTGAAATGATGATGTTGATATGGATGAGTAGCAAAATAAGAAGGGATACAATTCGAAAGGAATACATCTGGGAGAACTTAAGTATGGCTTCAATAGGTAATAAGACGAGAGAAAGTAAACTTAGGTATGCTGACCATATGTATCACCGATCCATATAATACCTTGTAGGATGTGTGAGCTGATTTAAGTGGAAGGCTAAAAAAGATAAGGGATAGGCCCAAAAAATATAATCAGAAGTAGTGAGCAAAGATATGTGGTCTTATTGCCTTATTAAAGTATAGCCTTTGATAGAACAGGACTAGAGCTCATATAGGTCACCCCAAATAGTTGGGAAAGGCTTTGATGATGATGACCTTATACCCTACCCTTCAAAACAAAACAAATAAGAAGAAAATATATGGATACACAATGACGCACGTGCCTAAAGTGGCAGACTTGTGGAAAGTGGCAGATTTGAAAACAATTTTGTTTGTGCGCAGTGCGCACGTCGAGTATGTAAGGTGCACCTTTAAATTTTGACGGAGGATGCAATTCATCAAGAAAACCTTACAATGGCTTGAAAATCCATATTCAACTTTAACTATGAAATTGAAAATCTAAAACCGGTGAAGATCAAGCATATCTATAGACATTTATAAAATCTTGTAAATCGACCGTATAGATAATATGTTACAAAATGTGTTTTTTGTAGGACTTGAAATTTTTTTTTTTCTTTATATTCATATTTCTCAAAGTTGAGATTATCAATCGGATGGTTTTTCAATTTTGGAATATTATTTTCTACTAGATTTTTGAAGTGCACTTTACTTCTATGGTATAAAATTGCAACCTTATATAAATTTTATTTATTTATTTATTTTATAAACTTTTTCTTTTTATTTTATTTTATTATTTATTTATTTGAGTTTCGCTAGGCTGAGGAGGTTGGGATCCTAAAAATATCCACATACAAGATTTGCCTCAAGAAGTGAATCGAGGACATGCACCCATGGTAGCATATAATCTTTTGGCTTCATTTCGAATCTTTAGCTAATAAATGGCCTCACTATTCCTAGTGTGTAGAAATCCCAGCCTCAATTCGAAAGTGTACTGAAATTTAGAGTAGAAAGTAAATTTTATATTATTAAATACAGCGGAATTGTTGGAAATTTCCAATAGTAAATTTAGTATTGATTAAATATAGGGAAATTAGGTGTATTTTGATCATTTTATTTATTTAAATATTATTTTTATATTTTATAGCTACATTACGGTGGGACGTATGGGCATCTAAAATTTGACCTCAATTCAATATATAGAAAAAAATAAAATTAAAATACTAGATGCACTCTTAAAAAAGGCATATAAAATATTTTTTTACTTTCTTCATTTTTTTTACTTTCTTCATTTACAGGATGTGTTGAGACTTGGGTTTATGCATTCTTTAATTTTAGCTGGCCATGTTTGATCCCATCATGGGCTAGGGTAAAGGGCCGTTTTCCGTAGGGTCGTAATTGATCCGGCCAGGTAAGGATCTGGATTGGTTAGTGGACCTGGTAGATCATGTCTAGGTCTATGTCTATCTTGAAGCATATTGTGTCGGATTAGGTCCTGATTAGCATCGCCTCAACCTAAAACATATAGAATATATTTTATATTTTTTTTTAGGGATTGTCTACAAATAGTTCATTTATCTTTTGTACATGGAAGTCACAATCATTTTAACTCATTGGATGTCAAATTTGATTGCTTGGGGTAAGTCATGAAGTCAGAGAATTTATTTTTTGAAACTGAGTCTATTCAATGACACTCTTACAACCACCTAAATGATTGTGATCTCCATGTACAAAATATACATGGTCTCTTTGTAGACAATCCCTTTAGTTCATGTACAATCTAGATCCGACTTAGTCCTGTCAGGGCCAATTGACTAATGGGCAACCATGTCCAAATCTAACTTGGACCTAATTGGGTCCCGTATGGGTCGGGGTGACCTGAATCTTTTCAGCCTACCTTTTTGTTGACAGTTGGGACTTGGCTAGCTAGAGTTCAACCCGTGCCCATTTGGTAGATTTCAACCTTGGATTCTTCAAAAGAACGTATAGTATGCTCCCTTGGGAGTACATTAACTCCCTCGGATAAAAGAGATAGTCTAGAGGATTTTTTTTTTCTTGTTAATTCTTAGGATCCCATTAAGCATAACTAGATTATTGTTTTCAACAAACAAAATTGAATTTTGAGTTTTTGAACACCTAGTTCTGACAAGAAAATTTCTTTTCACATATTCATCCCCTACGCTTAAGCAGTAACATCCCCAAAATTTGGGATATTAAGTAGTTACTAGATTGAGATTTTCCCGAGGGAGCAAATG